ATAAATGTTACTGCATTCACTACTTAGATCTTCAAAATATTCAATTGATTCTATGTCATAAATTCTAAGAGTTTTTATATTTTGTCTATCTTTAAATTTTTTACTCCAATTTCTTTTCTTGAAATATTTTTTGTGTGGTTTAAAATTTCTTTTCTTGAATTTTTTATAGTTTTTGAATTTTCTTTTATATTTCTTATACGGTTTATATTTCTTCTTATGGCATCCAAATTGTATAACTTGGCCAATATCTTTGTGACAACATAATGCATTTTTTCTTATTTTATACGCTTTTTTATTTTCTAAAACTTCTCTGCACCACATACCTATCATTCTTTTTGTAAATTCAATCCTACTTCCAAGACTATCTATTTTTATTCCTTCCTCTTCTCCTAGAGGTAATAATTTTTCATATTCTTTTAATAACTTAATTCCCCATGAGAATGGTAACTTAGTAAAATAAGACCTTAATATAGGTTTATTTTCTTGATAATCTCCTTGGTTTAATATATAGTATATTTCTTCAAATTTACAAGTATATCTTTCTAATTCACACATATCACACATCTTTGAATTTTTCATTGCTATCATTCCTTGATTATATTTATCATGTTTTCTTTTTTCATCATTAGAAGTATACTTATCTCTTAAGAATTCTGTTCTTAAAATTTTTTCAAACCTTTTTAATATCTCCTGTATATTTTGTTCATTTAAAGTATTCCTATTATCTAATACCTCAGTTCTACCTGCTCCATACTTTATCCTTCCTTTAATAGTTTCTAGTAATTTTCTCCACGATTCAGAAACAATTCCTCTGAATGTATGTTCGATAAATCCAAAAGAAATATATATTTCCCATTTATTAAATTGTATTGCTAAATCTGTGTTTTTCATCCATGTTTCAATAGTTTTATTTTTATCTACACAGTCTAGATCTAACCATACTCCTGTTGTGTGGATTAGTTCATTATAAGATTTCATTGGGTTTATTTCTTTTATGGACTGTTTTCTTACATTTTCAGTGTATCTTTTCTGTGTTTTTCTATATTGGTAAATACCATCCTTATCAGGTATTGGGATACCATAAGGATAATCTTGTTCTTCATCACTACTGAATTCTACTTTTATAATCTGATTTGAAGATGGATTAGTATTCATCTTTGTATTTTTCATTTTTTCAATTAATTCTTCTAACTTTTTTTATATTCTTCATACTCTTCACCTGTAAATTCTAAGAATTTTTGTTCTATTTCTTCTACATCTGTAATCATATATTGTTTTTCTTCATGTTTTTTCCCTTTATTATTTTCCTTTTGTGTTATCCTAAAATCTTGAGGTGGATTAATTATAATTCTATCTTTTCCTTTAAAATTTTTATCTAAAAGAGCATTTCTTACTTGTAGATTATATTCTAGATTTTCTAATCTTTTGTGTATATTCTCAAAACTTTCATTTGTGGTATTTTTAGGTAAATAGGGATAATTAGGTTTTTTATATTTTTCAACTTTTTTCAAAAATTCTTCAATTATACTTTCTTCATCTACTATATTCATCATAATTTTTGGTTCGTAACATGACTCTGATACCATTTCAACGGAGTGTGCAGCGGAGGGGTTAAGATTTTTGAGCCAATTAAAATCTTCATAAGTATCTAAAATATCACAATAGAATTTATAAAATTCACTATTTTTTATTAAAACTTTTTCTTCAATAATTATATTTAGTTCTTTAATTCTTCTTTTCAGGTTAAGAATTAGTTTATATATATCATTTTCTATTTTGATTGTTCTATTATCTATAGAAATATTTTTATTTTTTAATTTTGGATCTAAATATTCTGTAAAGAAACCTGTCAGATCTTCTTCTAAATATTTTAATTCATTTTCTGTTGCATTTTTTAGATCAATAAATTTTTGTATAATATTTGGGTTTAAATTTATTAAAGATTTTTTATCTATATTTCTTTGAGGACCTAATTGAAAGTTTTTATACATTGTAATAGTTTTGATTGCAATTTCTCAATGAGGGGTATTTTTGGAAAGATTATTATTAAAAGGCTATTTCTTAAACTATTATATTTTTTGGTCTAATCTTACAAACCTCTCTTGTATTTAGGCTATCTATAGGTATTTCCTCCTATTTTACGTACCCCTACGAGACCCTCGCACTTGCGAGTGCCGACGTATTTTTTATTTAATTTTTTTTTTTTTATGTGGGACTGACCCTTAAATAGGACCCTATGAAGTACAGCTCTGTACATAGAGCTTAATTCTGACTAAAATCACCCCTCTGATCTTTACAATAATTGCAAATTGTAACTGGGATGAGAAACCCCCTTTTGGCCCCAAATTTTGTCAAATTTTAATAGTTGGAATAGTAATTTTTTGAAAAATATGTGATTAAAAAAAATGAAAATTTTTTGATTTGCGTGTAATATTATTTTATGAAAAATTTTGTAATTGAAAATAAGAGAGAAAAAAATGAGAATGAGAGCCAAATAGGGGCTAGTGAGGGATATTTTTCCCATGGCAATCGGCACACAACGTCGAAATGTTCTTATTTTCATTAACATTATTTTGACATTTTGACTTTTATTTTTTCTTTTCATTACTAAAAATATCATTTTAATCCAATTTCTCATTAAAAAAATAAAAAATTACAAATACACTCTACTATTTAAAGAAAAATTAAAGAACAACCTATAATTATATTCCCAATTTTTTTTAAAAATCACAAATAAATCTAAATAAATTATTTTGACATTTTGTTCTTTTTTTGTTTTATTTAAATATGAGGGTATATTCGTCATTTTATCATTTTTAATTGAGAAAATAGACAAAAATGGTGATTTTTACAATGAAATATGAAAAATAAGGATGAAAATGCCAAAAAATAAAAGATATGAACGTTTTATATAATAATATTGTAAGGTAAAGACATTTTGTGCTAATTATCTTTTAATAATTTATTTGGACTTATTTAAAGTTTTGTAGAATGCTTAAGAGTATAATTGTAATTTGTTCTTTTTTTTTTTTATTTAAGTAGGATGGTATACTTATCATTTTACATTTTTTTTATTAAGAAATTGGATAAAAATGATATTTTCACAATGAAATGTGAAAATAAGAATGAAAATGTCAAAAAATGAAAGGTGGAGACATTTTGCACAATAACATTCAAAAGTAAGGACATTTTATGCTAATTGCCCTTTTATTTATCTTTTAATACAAAGTGATTTTATCTTAATTGAAAATTGATATCCAATTAGGGAAAAAAAATGGAGAGAACAAAATATGAGCCAAAAAAGGGCAAAGCTTTAAATCGTTGATGCCAAACTTTATTGTGTTGATATTGTTTTGCGAACATTACCATTTCATTGTTTGCTATTATTTAAGTCCATGTTTGGTTATGTTTAAAATTTGATTTTCATCTAAGTCAAAGTCAAACAATCAATATTAATCATACATTTTATGGGTCTCACACTTTTTAACCACACATTTTAGAAGTTTTTATCACAATCTACCAAAAAATCTAATTTTAATCTCCACCAAACATCTGGTAAATCTTTGAAACTGAATTAAGCAATTGACTATACCTCGAGTCCTTGGTCCGAATTTCACTTGCAGACTTCTCAAATTGTTTATCTATTGTTAACTTTCTTCTTGCTTTTCAAATAGGCACATGACACATAAATTCGATAAAACTAATTTAATTTAACTTATGGGACAACCGTAAAATTTTGTCGATAAATTAATTGGCATGCTGTATTTCGTAGCATAATTTAACTCCATGCTTTATAGATTATTTCTTGTATAAATAGAGATACATACATATACAACTATACAAGTATTCTCTATGTCAAGAATCATGAGTAACCGTGGATTTATTGATTCTTCATTCTTAGTTTTCTATGCTACTAGTTACGGTCTTGGGCTAACTTGGGTTTACATATCGAGCTTTTACATTTGAGACATAAATGGTACATAACATTTGTTTTCAATGTGCAAATGATTCGTTATATTTATTTATTGACATGAACATCCCTAACTATGTATTTTCGTGTTCAATTATTTTTTGGATCAACCAATGGTCCTTTTTTTTTTTAATTTACAAGACCCGTATTCCTTTAATTTTAATTCGCAAAAATTGCAGCTGTGTCCCAAAACTTTGGAAATAGTATAAGCTCCTGAAGCTTTATATAATAATATAATTTAATGTATTATTATATTACCATAATCTGGCAAATAAAGTTTTAGAAGGAATAAAAAGTGAAATTGTCGTTCTTCAAATGTATTTAATTGATTTGTGGGGCGAAAATTTTGAATAAAGATTAAGATAAATAAATACTAATAACTAAAATAATTTCACGACATTCAACCAACTTTTTATGTTACAATTTAACAGAAAAATACTAAAAAAAAATTTTATGAATCGCGCATTCTTTTCTTTATTATTATTAAATGAAAATAAAACGATAAATTAAACCTCTAATATTCATAGTTACTAAACAAATAGCTCAATTAAGAGAGAGAGAGCGAGAGAGAGAGAGCGAGAGAGAGAGAGCGAGAGAGAGAGAGAACTTCTTCTGACGTAAATGCCATTAATTGCTAAAATAAGTTCAGCAACAGATTGATCAGAATACTTTAAATGATACATAGTCCATGAATTTACATAAATCTGTCTTTACATATAAAATTAATTGAACATTTTTCTAATGCTTAGCCAAACATGATCATTTATTAGTTTCAACCATTCAACTAGTACATCAATTTTCACACATTTTTTCACAAACACACACATGCAAGTGGATGGGATCCACGATTACACCTTTATGAGGGTGTGAAAATTGCTATAAAAAAAACATGCTGTACAAACAGCATTTTTCTATTAGTTTTCTAGTCTTAGCAAATAGCAATTATAGTTGTCAAGTGGGTATGACGAGACTGTACACACGAACGAAGAAAAAAAAAAGGGGGGGGGAGTATTACCTAGACTCCACGACATGTTGAAAAGAGGTTCATTTATTCAATAGCAATACGATAGTAAACCGGCAGTGATCTGCCAGTAATCCACAGCAGTACAAAACGGACGATATCAGAAAACCACAAGGGATTAGAAGTGCACAACGTTGTTTAACAGTCAAATTCTAAAGAATCGGAATTCTTCAGAATTTGCATAAAAGTTGAGGTTGCATAATACTTCAGCACGTCAAGGAGATCCCATTATTTCAAAACATCACACGCTAATAATTATCCATTTTGCTGGTTCATTTTGGCAGTGGAGTGTTCACAAATTCCCATGTGATCTTATGAAAGGCCTCATTAGAACTTCTTGACCCAGCTACTTCATTGATGGGAACCGCATCGGTGATCTCTTTCAAATCTTCTTTAGTAAGCTTCACTTTCAAAGCACCAATATTGGAGTGAAGATTCTTAATTTTGGATGTACCTACAAATATTACAAGATCGAAAGAAAGATTATCATTAAAACCATTGCAATTCAATAAATCAATGTAATATATACAATTCACTATCTATCCATTGCACGTGATTCCAATGAAAAATTCTTACAGCATCTCCAGTGATAACAGACCTCAGTATACAAAACTCTACTTTATAATGCTTCAGTATGTATATATTTCCTGGGGGAGGAAAGTGATATATCACAACTTGGCCTAACTTCGAGGAGTTATTATTTCATGAAATTTGGAATGATCTACCGTCTACGTAAGTTAGATATGAAGAGTCTCACTTCTTGATCCAGCTTTCCAAATCCTTCTGACTAGGAATAAATGGCCAAAATGGCTATTAATTATTGGGCCCATAAAGATGATGAAAAATATCATTAGAAACAAGTCTAATAAAGGGTTGTACTTGGTGTACATAATTTGGATATACAGGGGTGTCCACATCCCACATGTACTTGAGACCGCACAAGGTAGGAACCACCCCATCTAAGGGATGTGGACACCCCTTTGTACATATTTTATGTACACCAAGATTTATCCAAAAATAAATCTCTCAACCGTGAGGAGATCTACAGGCACAAATGAATATAATTTCTACTTCTAAAGTGGGTCTTGAAACCCACAACTTGAAAGTGTAGGATATCCATAGAGAATAAGTTCTTACCTATTTAAAACAACAATAATTTATGATGACAATCCAAGAAGCATACTAATATCTAATCAAGAAACAAAAAGACTCGATAATTATACCAAAGTCTTACTAATCTCAAGTACATGAACCCCCCAAGGGAAAGGCTGATCATCTCGTACACTAGGCTAATTTAAACATATAGATCCAATTTCTTTAAATCTCTACATTTCCAATCTGTCCAACATGGTTTCCACTAGAGCATTTAAAGCAAAGCTTCTTATATGATTGGCTTACCTGGAATAGGTACAATATCATCTCCTTGATGAAGAACCCATGCGATCGCAAGTTGAGCTGGTGTGCATCCATGCTTCTTAGCCAACGCTTCTATGCGAAAATATAGGACTTTGTTCTTCTCAAAATTCTCTCCTTGAAGCCTTGGGTGACTTGTCTGATAGTACGAAAATTACACAGCTTTTCAGCAACTAGAGATTACAAGAGTGAATAAACTACTATATGATCTTTGATACTAAAGAAGATATAATGCAATGAAGATTAGAAAATATAGATGCGCACACACCAATGAGCTATTTGGATCCGCACTTTCCACGATTGCCTTCCCAGCAAAAAACCCTCGACCTAAGGGACTGTAGGGAACTATTCCGATCCCAAGTTCCCTGTATCCATTCCCAAAAAGAAACAATTTATGAGATCACAATTTTTGAATAGGAAGCATAAAAATAAGATGCGAAACTACACAAACTTGAAGCGTAGTAGTTGAAAGAAGACGAATCAAGGTATCGAAGCATTGATAAAAAGAGGGTAGTAAAAATACTTCCAGTATTCTCATTAAAAGCATAATGTTCAACACACTAACTGCGATTGTAGTTTTAATTACTTAATGTTGCAAAATTAACTTCATGAAGAAAAATATAAAAACATAAAGGATTATAATAGAAAATAGGAGCAGAGCACTGTACTGTTAATCCTAGGATGAAAATGACGTCAAGAAATTTATATTGTACGAAATTAATCTAAAAATTTAAACATGAGAAAGTAGAAACTGACCAAATAGTTAGCTGAAAATGTAATATTTAATCAGAGTTACAACGGAAATATTTAAGAAATATGGAAACCTGCAAAGTGGAATTATTTTTTCTTCAATGTCACGAATCCAAAGGGAATAGTCCATTTGAATTGCAGTAATAGGATGAACTGCATGAGCTCTCCTTATTGTGTCTGGGCTAGCTTCAGACAATCCAATATATCTTATTTTACCTTCATTAACTAGCTTTTTAAGTTCTCCAATCTACAACTCAAAAACAATTTTATCAACAAGTGCGATCATATTGTTAAAAGGAAACGAAAGAATGATAAGAAAAATGAATGCAAGCAAAGAGAAAACGTGGTTAGTGGCCCCAAAGTTTTAAAAATGAAAAACTCACTGTGTATTCAATAGGCACAGTAGCATCAATTCTGTGTATGTAGTAAAGATCGATATAGTCCACGCCAAGAACCTTCAGGCTAGCCTCACAGCAAGAGCGGGCATATTCAGGTGAACCTTTCACTATAACTCCAGATGCATCATACCCGGCTACACCAAACTTTGTAGCTAATTGGACTTTTTCTCGCGGTAACTGCTTTAATGCCTGCAAAATATGAATTCCCTAAGTTAAGACAACTCAAAGGTGACCATGAAGTGCTTATGGTTACATTTACTGGTTTCTGAATTAATAATAATCTAATAAGAGGCCAGGAAGGGAAACTTTAAGTTAAACATAACTTCAAGAATCATCTAAAGACAAAATTATATTTTTTTCAAAGAGATAATTGTTCGCCAATTCAGTTTTTTTAATATCACACACTTTATATAACTTACAGATACAATAGCCGATAGCTGGACTTTTATCAACTATTGTTCTCAACTTTTGAAGAAAAAATTCAATCACGTTAAGTTCAATAATATTTTCAATAAACACAAGAAGTTTCAACGGATATATTCGCGAAATGAAGCTGTCTGTCCTTTTTCTTTCTGTCACAAAATTTCCACGTGTTGTTTTATTATCGCAGAGTTATACGCAAGGAAATGGAACTTTATTTAGATCAGCTTGATGCCATAGAATACCATTATTGTTGTTCACATCAACTTTCGATGACAAAAGAAGTATCTTGCCAGCACATAAATTCAAATGTGCTGCCATGATCAAGAGTAAGTATCTCAGTAAAGCACCTACCTTCCCCACCAGGTACTCATTGGCATGGTCCGGACCATAAGCATCCGATGTGTCAAAAAATGTGATGCCTTTACTAAATGCCTCTTTGATTACTGCAATTGCATCCTCCTCAGGGACAGGATTACCGTAGGCACCTGAAAGCCCCATACAACCATAACCTAGCCTTGATACCTAAGAGAAAAAACAAGTCATTGGATGAAGTAAAGAGATTTAAGAAAGTATTATTTGAAGAAAACAAATGAATCATTGCATTATCTTCCAATCAATTTGCTGGAGCTTAATGCGGGGTGGGAATGCACAAACAACATCAGTCTGCAAGAATTCTATATGTATATTCTTCGTCTTTCTTTAATCAACTATATTTCTGATTTCTCATGTCTTAAAGAGGGTTTAAAAACTCTGTTGGTAGCCAAATTTTCAAAGTGGAGTTAATTGTTCCCATAGTCACCGAACTTGAGTCCATGTCTTTGAATGGTCACAGAAATTAAAAATGTCGAATTTTGGTCACTAAATTTAGGTTCATGCCTTCAATTGCTCATTGAAGTTTAAAATATCGAGTTTTGTCAAATGAATTTTGAAAAATGTTGTACATTACTCAATAAATTTTGAAAATTGCTGTGTATTATTCACTGTAAACTTGATATTTTTCAAAATTCAACAATTATGCTAGCTAATAAGTAACATACGGTATAATCCAAAATTCAGTGGTCAAAACTCGACATTTTAAATTTCAATGAAAAATATAAGACATGGACCTAAGTTCGAAGAGCAATCGAAAATATTGATCTAAGTTCAATAACCAAATCTTGACATTTTAAACTTGAGTGACCAATGAAAAAAGACATGGACCTAAGTTCATCGACCATTGAAACAATTAATTTTTCAAAATGTGAAACTTCAAGTACCCAACTTTTATTAAGTCGTTAACCACCTATCCAACTAAATTAATCGATTTAACGAATTTGGTGATATGTCCTATGGCCAAACTTAAACGGCAAAACAAAACCAAAGAGCTCCAAAAAAATGAAAGCATCAAAACGTTTAAATAATAAATAACAGTTGTGAAACCACAATCAAATGTGGAACTAGAGTTTCTAGCTTATTAATGCCAATTCCCCGGCACCGTCAGCCACGTACGCAACACCGCGAGACACCTCAACAGAACGGTAAAAATTTGTCATAAATACGCAATCAGTAGCTTATTCACGAACAAATGGGTTGTTTTTAGGATTCTAAGCAATAATCGGTAAGGTTACCGAAAGATCACATGTTTTATAGGGTATAGAAAAAATTCAATTCAGATCTACAAATTGAATCGAATCCGAAACTGAATTAATCAAATTTAACATATACCTCGAGTCCTTGGGTTCCAAGTTTCACGCGCGGCATCTCGATTTGTTCAGCCATTGCGAAAGTTTCTTCTCTATCTTTGAACTAGACAGTGCTGCTTTCAGTGAGATGGCTCTAGTGTCCAGCAATTGAGCCTATCTATAGACACCATTACACATGGCTGACGTAAGCGAGTTCGCTTTTCACTTAGCCCTAGATCTATTTTTATAATAAAAAAAAAAAAGAAGAAGCATTTTTAAATATTGTACGGATCAAAATGTGTGATTAAAAAAAGTCATGAATTTACATGTAAATTATTTTATTAAATAATGTGTAGTCGAACTGGAGTCAAATACTGTTGAAAAATATATTTTAATAAAAAAATGAGGCTCAAGAGTTTTTTTTTTTTTTTTAAGGGACATTAAAACATCTATGATCATGGTATTTTTATTTTTAAAAATTACTTATTTGACAAAAAAAAATATCTATGATTATGGGTACTTTTATATTAAATTCTTTTTTATCGATATTCAAAATGATAAATATGAGATGGTATGTAAAATAAGTGTATATTTAAACGCATTCATATCATTCTAGGACATTGATATATATCGTGTTTCTTTATGATTAAATGCCAAATCAAACTATTACCTTTTTGAATTTTTCTTCTTGCATCTATTGCGCCAATAGGGGGCAATGTAGGACATTGATATATATCATGTTTCTTCATGATTAAATGCCAAAGCAAATTATTCCCTTATTTGAATTTGTTTTCTTGGATCTATTGCGCCGATATGGGCGCCACATCGCCCCCTATTTGGACACCTCCATGTCCAAGTAGCATGCCTTCACCTTTTTAGACATTAAACATTTATTTGTCCCTGTTTGGCCCCCATTTTGTGTAAATGAAAATTGTATTTTTTTGAAAAATTTTTCATTTACGTATAATATTATTGCATGGAAAATTGTGTTGTTGAAAGAAGAAGGGAGAAAAATGAAATGGAATAGAATGAGAATTAATAGGGGTCCAATGGGGGCTTAAGGACTCTTCAGCTACATTAAGCCTTGTAAGTACCCTTTTTCTAAAACTTATTTTTTATGAATTCATTCTCAATTATGGATTCTCTGAATAAAATATGCAAGGATTCATGAATTTTTTATTTTATTTTTAGTATTTTCCAAAAAATAATAATAATAATAACAACAATAATAAATCATTTGATACAAACTCATTTATTCAAAATTCTATATCATATGGGTATAAAATGTTCGTCATCATGTTGATGAGTAACACTCATTTATAGGTGTGTATTCATCCATGTTTGATCAAGGGCCAAATTAAATCAAAACTTGACACTTTGACCCTATCCATAAATATCTTCTTTTATTTTAGGCCACTTGCCAATTTCTATCTATAAATATCTTCCTTATCTTATCTTAGACCACATGTCAATTTTGCATCAATGGTAATATGCATAGATATTAGACCATACTCACTGCTCAGTGGTAGATCCGAAAAAATCTTCGAGTCAATGGTTCAATCGGTGGATCAGCAATTCAATCGGGGGATTATTATTAGACTTTAATTTTAATTATATTATATTTTTGAAAGAAAAAAAGAAACCATTTTTCGAAATCTAATATATATATATATTGCTCACATTAGATGATTAAGGACCATTAGTTGCCATAGTGGTCATAGAGTAAGATGTCTCCTTTGTTGCCAAAGTTCGAAACAAAGCTTTTTAGCAAATTTAACATAAAATTTTACTTCAATTTAGTAGCCATTCGATTCACACATTGAACCGGATCTGGTTCCACCTAAAATCGTTTGGTACAAAGGGTTGGTTAATGGTTTAACCGATTCTTGACCGATTCATATGCTTGCTTAATCAATTAAATCACTCGGACATCCGATCCGATTTTAATAACTATGATAATATGTTGCTTCACACGTACATATGAAACACATTTTATATTTATATCTCTTCACACGTAAATATGACACATGTTCTATATTTATATCTCTTATTAAAAATAGACAATCAAAAAGAATTCAATCTATAAAATATTATCCACCATATATAATTATTGACTCCAAGGAATAATTTTTTTTTCCATGGTTTCACACTTTTGATGCGTCTGCAAATTTAATATTTTTCTGAGCGTGCGGGCGTAATTTTAGAAATCGACTACAATGATTTTTTTGGTCAATTATTCTTTTCACGAAAAGAATTTCACGTGATCTTAGGAAATCCTGGTTCATAAGAAAACATGAGCATAATCTTTATAAATCCTAGCGCATAAGAAAACATGAGATTTTGAACAACTACAATGAAATTTTTTAACCAAAAAACTATTGTGACTTTGATTTAATATTCATATAAAGATGGAGATGAATTCTCAAAAAAGTTTGAAGGTTCGAGTTTGGTATAAAATAGGGAAAGATATTTTGTAATTAATCTAGATATGAGCTCTAATTATGGAGACGTGAGGATTTGAATGGAGTGTACTCCCATTAGATCATGTAAAATTAAAAAGGAAATTTTTGGTCCAGTTAGTGCATTTGTTTTTTTTTTTTTTTTTTAATACAACAATATATTTCTTTACACATTTATATGTTGAATTTAAATCCCAAATCAAATAGAATTTTATTTAAGAAATAAACTTACACAAATTTTAGCTCAAATGTGTAAATAAACTCCACACATACACAACACTCAATTATCAATTATTTCCTTTTGGTCCAGTTAGTGCATTGGTTTTTTTTTTAATACAATAATATATTTCTTTACACAGGCATATGTTGAATTTAAATCCCAAATCAAATGGAATTTTATTTAAGGAATAAACTTAACACAAATTTTATCTCAAATGTGTAAAAAAACTCCACACATACACAGCAATCAATTATCAATTATTTCCACTCACTATCTTTCTAACACTTGTGCACTCTCTCGCTTACTTTCACATACACGTGCCCTCCCTCTCGCTCTCTCTCTCAATTATCTCCACTCACTATCTTTCACACACTTGTGCACTCTCGCTCTCTCTCCCCCTCGCTCCCTCACATTCATTAACTTACACAGCCAACACACGTGTGTGTGCGTGTGTCTATATATATATATATGGGTGAGCGAATTCAAACATTTGATTGGTAAATGACTTAGATTCATCAAATAAAGGCCTTAGAATCATACCATAAAAACAAAATCCCAAATGAAGAATCAATTGTCCAGGTTTTCTCAAAATCCAGGCAACTTCATGAGAGCTCCAGTTTTTTCTGAAAGTTCAGTGCAGGCAGTGGCCTACATTGGACTCCATGCAGCTCCGCCCCTGCTAACAATAGTAGACTAATCATAAAATTCTAAGTTATCTACTATACTGTTATTCGCTAAATGAAAACCAGTGTGATGGATAAAAGTAAACATGTCTTCAAGCAAGAACAAAATTTAATGGTTTTGAAAAAAAGAAAAAAAACACCCACATATTAACAGAAAAGAATATATAATGGTAGAAAAAATTGCACTGCTATTACTAAAATCATATCAGAATTTCAAATTCTTCCGAACTCCATCGCTTTAGATATGAAACTTCAAGTATGTAAAGATTCTTAGGATGTTAGAAATTTTTCAACAAGTAACATCAAAATCGAAATGTAGCTTAACCAAAGCAAACACGAAATCCAAAAACAGTAGAATAAAAGGTGGAAGGAGAGAGAGAAAGAGAGAGCCCTATTTAATTTAAGAGTAATGCTTAGTCTCACTGAAATTAAAATCTCAGTCTAGTGGCGTTAATGTAGTATTAAACAATATGTGAAATTAAATAAATCATTTAATTTTATATTTCATTCACCCTATCATCTAGTGCCAACTAGATTGGGATTGCAACTCCATCGGGCTACGTAGCATTATTCTTAATCTAAACATGAATCTTTTCATGACAAAGTAAAATTAAAAAAGAATAATTTAACTAGATCATTAATTCACAGAAAAAAAAAATGTTAAAGAATCTAACGAACAATAATCACATCAGTTTAACTAATCATTCGAAGAGCTTTAAAATTTAAATATTCCTTGTACATTGAATAAAAAATAAAAAACCAAAAAATTGCATTCTTCCACTATGGACAAATTTTTGCATAGCATATTTTCCATCATTTTTTTATTGATCACATACATCTTTCAAAGACCTCATATGGCCTCGCGTAGAAATATATAAATAAGGGATAATAGTCCAAATGATCGCTCAACTTTGCAAAAGATCCACAATGAGTCATTTGACCCACCGTGGGTCCGCCAATGCCTGTCACTTCATTGACAAGGACTGCATTAGATATCTTTTTAAAATAATTTTTTTAACTTTCACTTTCACAGAATCAATATTTTCATGAAGATTTTTTATTTTGATTGTACCTATAATTACAAGATCGAATGATATGTAAATATTAAGATTAAAACAACTTAGGAGATCAATATAATAATATACATGTCACTCATCATCAATTCGAGTGAAATTTCTAAAAATATATATAACTAATCACAATTTCCCAAGCTAAGTATGCCGAAGTCTTATCAAACTTTAAAGCAAGATTAGAATATGAATGGGCTTACCGAAATAGGTACAATATCGTCTCCTTGATGAAGAATCCATGCAACCGCAAGTTGACAACCACATAATAATATCCATCTTAATTTACCATAGTATTTTTGACTAAAATTTTATGACGATTTTTCTTATTAAGTAGCCAATGTCATGGTTTATCCTTGGAGCAATAATGAATCAGCATGAACAAAACTAATTCCACCCAATCCAATGGTGGCCCATGGCCATCTATGATGTTGAAGTATCTAAGCACCGATTTCGACACCACTCACTCTCCTTATATAAGGTCCATACACTTGGCATAAAAGCAAGTTGAATTGGATTTTTAGGCTAGTCTGCAACCCCACATGTCCTCTTGCCCTTATCTGTTAAAGGAATAACTTGTGAAAAGCATTACGATGGAAAACTACTTTTTGGTGTCATTCCCATATTTTATTTTTTGTTCTTTTGATTAACTTTTTGAAAGAGAGAAGAATTAAAACAGCCTCTTTATTGCTTAAGCAAGGGCGTGAGCTATAGATCAAACAACGTTACGATGGGTTCAAAATTTGTAAGGTTTAACAATGCCCA